CCGGTCTAAAAGTTAATGTCGAAAAGTGCAAATTTGCAGCCCCTGAATCAAAATACTTAGGTTACAAAATCAAAAATAATCGCTGTGCAAAAGTGGCGAAGAAGTTTCGCCAAATACGGCGAAGAAGCTCTCTTCTTTTCTAGGACTTTGTTCATATTATAGGTCCTTTATAAAAGATTTTGCAGCTATTGCTGAACCATTGTTAAAATTAAAAAGGAAAAAGGCAAGATTCTCGTGGACGGCCGAAGCCAATAGTGCTTTCGAAAAATTAAAGCAAGCATTAACGCAAGCCCCTGTGTTGAAATTTCCAGAATAGGATGAGAATTTAGAAATTTCAGCGGATGCTTCGGATTATGCGGTAGGAGCGGTACTTTCGCAAAATCAGCAGCCCGTGGCATTTTTTAGTAGAACTTTAAATCGAAACACAAAGAAATTTTAAATAAATTATTCCGCGACTGAGAGAGAGGCACTTGCAGTTAGTTCTGTTAGCAGTGCAAAAGTTCCGAGTCTATTTTGGAAGGGCGCCAGTAACAGTGTATTCTGATCATGCGGCGGTAACTAGATCAATGCATATACTCAGGAAAAAACTTTATCCCCAAGGTTAATAAGATGGGCACTCAAGTTACAAGGAGTATAATTCTGGTAATCAAAGCACACCCCCGGAAAGGAAAATATCGTAGCAGATGCCCTATCCAGAATAAAAATAGATGAAGAAGGTAATACTGTAAAGGTGGCAATGCTCACAGCATGTACAATTAAATTCCCGAGAAACTGTAATAACCGAACTGGGTAAGGATCCTGAATTTGGAAAACATTTATGATTATTTAAAGGATCCTGAAAATTTTAGCCACCAAGATATTGTGGCGATAAGAAATAGGGCGGCCCATTACGAACTAATAGATGGTCTATTATTTTATACAAAAACTACGAATTCCAACAACGAATTTCGACCTGTTATCCCAGCTAGTCTTAGATTAAATATAACTGCAGGAGTTACACGACTCCCCTTTAGCTTCTCATGCTGGTATTCGAAAAAACCATCCAACGCGTACGCGAAGCAGTTTATTTTCCTGAGCTTGCAAAAGTTAACAAGGGCGTATGTCCAGTCCTGCCCAACATGTCAAGCAGTTAATTATATTAATTTCCCTCCGCCCGGCCGGGTTTCTAAATAGCATTAAATCCGAATTTCCAAATGAAATAATTGGCATCGATTTATTGGGCCCTTTCCCAAAAAGTCAGTTAAATAAAAGTCGGTATCTCCTTGTTATGGTTGATCATTTTAGTAAGTGGACCGAAATTGTTCCCTTAAAACGAGCCTCCGCGAAATTAGTTACTGATTCTATTTTAAATAAATATATTTTAAAATACGGGGCGCCCCTAAAAGTTATATCGGATAATGGTCCTCAATTTGTAAGTAATATATTTGAAGACATGTGCCAAAAACTGGGCATACGTCATTTAAAAAATGGTCCCGTATCGGTCGGCCGCAATCAAATATAGCGGAACGGGTCAATATAGTGAAAATTGTCCGTAGTTATGTTAAAAATTTTCATAAAAGCTGGGATAAACTATGTCAATGAATTAGCTTTCGCCCTTAGGACCGCAAAACATGATACGACGGGCAAAACTCCTGCTGAGTTATTTTTAGGCAGAAAGATTATAACGCCGTTAGATAAATTATTTTATGTTCAACAAAGAGCCCCAGAATTTAAAATGGGGTGATATAGAAAAATTAAATTAAAGGAAGCAAAAAGAACACTGAAGTAGCACAGAGAAAACAGAAGCTTTATTATGATATGAAACGACGGGGAGTAACTTATAAAGTAGGGGATGAAGTGTTAAAAATTAAGCATTCACTTTCTTCAGCACCAGAAGATAAAACTGCCAAATTTTATCCACGATTTGAAGGACCATATGTCATAGAAAAATAACTCAGGCTGTAGTGGTGTTAAAAGCCAGGAATGGTGAAACCTGCACCGCAAACATTGACCAGATAAAACCATTTTATAATCGTAATAAAATGCCAATATTTAAAGATCTTTTGCAGGATCCGGCACGGCAGGGCAGGCACAAGCTCCAGAGGTGGAACAACGACAATCACAAGGGCAAGCCATTAGTAGGCAGGAGCAATTGAAAAGAAAGTTTCCCCGTTGGAAAAATTGAAAGGTAACAAGAAAAAGAAGCCGTTCCACCGACCAGAAAAGAGAGGGCACGACCACCCCCAGAATGAAGAAGGGAGAAGTACGACTAATGCAAAGAGAGCCAGGAGAAATGACGGCAACTATAACCCGGCTCCAAAACGGAAGATCTATCTACCCATCGGATAGGAGTCTACGCAGCAAATGTCGACGAATTGATTGAAGGAAACACCAGCTGCAGATGCAAAGAAGCAAGAAAATTTGAACAGCCAGCAACGAGATCCAAGTCAGGAACAACGAGAGACAGTTGTCCCGGTTCCGCCAAGACCAGCTGCCATCAAACGGCCGAGACCGTTTGAAGAAACAGGCAGAGATGCTAAAAAGAAGGTCTTCAAGGGTGACCGAACTGGAAGAAAAAGAAAGCTCATGGAGGAAGGAACCGAAGGGCGAACCCGTACAAGAACGGAAGATAAACCAGACGGTAGTCTTCGCCACTTTCCAGGACTGGGCAGCAAAAAAAGGATGTCTGAATATCACAAAGATAAGTAAAACTTTATGTTACTTTGAAACCTTAAGTTAATTTTTCATTCTTACTGCAAGTGGCAGAATTCAAGAAGTTTTACCTCATGTGAGGCCTACCTTTTATCGCCAAAAAGGCGAGAAATGAGTTGTTACCTATTTTGGATATTGTTTTTCAATTACTCGCGAGTAAACTAAAATTAATGTATAATAGGAATGTGTAAATACTTGAATATTGTAAAAGCATTGATAATCTTTGAGAAAGGTACCTTAAGAATATTGTAAAAAATTATTGTATAAAATTTTATTTAAAAGATTCTGGCAAGAAAGAAGTTTTAAGTCTGAAAGACTTTTGAAATGTAGTATTTCAATGTAGAAGAATTGGCACTTGCTTGAAAAGAATAGAAGTTAACAATGTACTACTAATGTATGTTTTAAAATGCGTAAAATTAACGGCATGTTAATATGTCCTTATATACAATGTGAACTGTTATTTTAAATGTTAAGAAATACTGTGATATGGTAAAAAAAAGTGAAAGTAATGCCAAAAATTTTAACTTATTCGTGTGACTGTAAAAAGACCAAATTATTGTGAAATATGTGTTAAAGTTGAATGAATGTAGTTAGGCTCTCTGACGCTACACTTCAGAGTTAGCCACTTTCAGAATAGTACCTCAGGGTTTAGAGATAAAGATAAGGTGTGTTATGAGGTCTGGTTATGTTGAATTTTTAACACGTTAGTGTTTTGATGGCAGGCGGTAGTGTGAACACTTGTACATAAACACATTCGTGTTCGGTGTTTTCTTTTACAACACATGTCAGAGAGCACGGGGAGAGATAATTAAATAAAGTCATGAATGAAATAAGAATGTTAAAACAAAAATATATGTATTCATGTTACTTGCCATTTAATTGTGTAACATTTCATTAAACTAGTTTTCCTTCCAGATCTCTGGAAGGAACCAGATTTCAACTAAAAGCTCCTGTTTAGATGCAGTACAGATGAAAAGTAATTGTCCATGGAGCTGATAATTTAAAAACAATTTTTTTTTTAAATTTCTAGTTTTCTAGTGAGAAATGTTTGTAAAAGATTGGCCTCGCGTTAGATTCTAGAGCTAAAAGTTTTCAACAAGGTCGTTTTAGACCTCAGTTTCAAACTAATTAACTCTGGCGGGAAGTATGTAAGGATCTTAAGTTTTACTAACGTTTATTTTATTTTAAATCTTTACTATCACTTCTTATTTTCTACTTCCGGCCAGAATTAAAAGCTTTAACCTATTTATGCAAATTTGTCTTGCTAACGCCAAGTACTTAAGTTGTGGTTTTTTGCCAAGCAAGAGAGAGGAAGGAGTTATTAGAGGCAGGCCGCTTGCCATAGTAATTTTACTCGTTTGCTGGTTGCCTTCAAGGCCAGAGGTTTAATCCTCTTGATAATTTTAAACGTATTGTAGTTTTAGCAGCTCTCTGTACTACATACGGCTTTTTGTTAATTAACGGCCAATCTTAAAGTAGGCACTTGTATATTAATTCGAAGTTAGTTTAGTTAGAGTTTTAGTTAATATTTTTATATTCTTACGTTCAGACCACAAGTGGTTGGTCTCTGTATTCCGAAGTCAGGAAATCTCTGTAAAGATAGAAAAATAAAGGGTTTTGTATACCCTTCCTATGTGTATTGTCTACTTCACAATTTATTGAACATAGCTTTAGTAAGCTCCCTGTTCTGAGTCAGGACAGTTCATGTTTCCAAGGCAAGTAAAGAGGAATACCAGTCCTGATACATAGACAAGTTCGCTTATCCTTTAAACGGAAGACACCATCGCAGACGTACTGTCTAGCACCCACAAACTTTGAAACAGCTCTGAACAATACAGTTACGCCAAAGATCTTTGGTTACGCACCGCAGTTGAGAAATCGACTAACCCTGGCAAAGCAGGTAGACTGAATGGCTGAGTGCGCGCGGTGCCAATCGCGTGATGGAGGAGTGGGAGTGTCAGAGTGTGATGCGAGACAAAGGAATGCAGGAAGAAGGGGACACATGCACACGGACAATGACCTTGAATGGATCTGCGCGGGGTGGACGAATTATCCGGACTGGCATGTTATCGAGTAGCGAGTTTTTTGGACTCTATTGTAATGCAAAATAAATGGAGTATAAGTGTGTTATGTAATTATAACGAATTAAACATCATTACTATAAACTTTGGAATCCTAATGTAGCAACCAATTATCTGGTACAGAAGCGAAATTTATTTACTGCTTTAGTTATGGCTGAAACTGTAACAATAAACATAAATATATATTTGCAATTTTCTGAATATGATCTACTCAATTCTTAAACTTACCTGAGTCCTTAGAAGTGGCAAAGCTTTTGAAAGAATCAGAAGTATTGCAACTTCGCGATAGCCAATGCATTCGCCAATTTTCTGAAGATTTTCCGCTGTTTTCTAAAAGAACAGATAAAAAGCATTTAATCTAAACGGAAGATGGAAACTGATTTAAAATAAAAGTGCTGAATGCATGTTTAACATTAAACAACTTGACAGGAAACACTTTGACAGAATTTTCTTTTTATGGCACCATAGCACCCAAAGTGCTTTTGTACAATGAGCTCCCGGTCACACGTTTCGTGAATTATTCGCGCAACGTCTAAAACAAAGAAATAAAATGCTAAGATACCACTTTCAACATTTACTCCTTTGCTAACTGATGATTCATTGAACACATGTGTTCGCACCTGATTACAAAAACGACTGCTACACCAGTATCATTCAGCTAAGAGGGGATGCCAGTTTTTCATAACATAATATTCAGCCCAATACAGTATGAATGCCCTATCAAACCCACGCTCACGCACCCAGGGCGTAAAGGCTTGTACACACATGTTGAGATTAACAGCAATCGGCACCATCAATCCATACAAGAAGCAGACCTTATCATCTTTACAGATGCCTCCAGGACCCCCGATGAAGTAGGCAGCGCCTTTGTACTTTTCGATGGCGCACATATAATTCACACACACTTGGAAGGGTTATCTACAATCCTGGAACAGCGTTTTCCAGGCAGAAGCATTAGCCATAACAGCGCCTATTGAATACGCTCCGGCTTTACCCTCTCCTTTCATCAATCTTCATTCAGACAGTGTGTCCACTCTTCTGGCAGTCTTAAACATAACCATGCCTCTCATTGTCAACATAGAGCATCTTCTGCAAAGCAATGCCCATAAGCACATACAACTAGTATGGGTCAGAGCACACGCAGGTCTGATAGGCAATGAAACAGCCGACATTTTTTTTTTTCCCGTATTTCGATTCTATGACTCAAATTATGTAAAATTTGGTGGGAAATTTACGGAAAAATTCAAAAATTTATTTTGGCGCATTGTTTTTCAGTTTGCGCCAAAAATAATTCGCTTAGCTAAGTTTTTAATACATAGAAACACAATTCCGTGATTCACATAGAACGTACCGTGATTCACATAGAAAATTATTTTCTTTTCTGTTTTTACATTGTTTGCCCACCAGCGGTAAAATCGCTGAACACTGGTAGTTCGGACCGAGGTTCGAATCCCACGAACAGGCTGGCTGCATGGGTTGTTCGTGGTTTTCCCCATGTGTAATGTGTATACGAGCCAGTTCCCCTTACAAAGTCCTCCACGAAGGCATCCCTCCCCTTAGGCAGATAGCTCTCGAGGCTTTGCCAAAATCACACACACACACACTTTTCACATTGTGCATGAGCGGACAAAATGTCACATCGTTCCTACTTTCAAATATTTTTAACAAATTGTCTAAACCACATTTCATGTTATTATCGCTGTCAACAAATGTGCCAAATTTCAAAACGCGCCAATATATAAATTACTGTTGAGACGCTGCATCTTTGAAACTGTGGACATGACCGCATGTTGTGCTTACGTTTTATTTTGCATTTGTTTCGAATATATATACGTATGGTGTCTAAATGCTGCTATCATTTTAGTAGAAAATCTCAGTGCTTTCATTTTATAATTTTATTTAATCGTCAACATTTCATTTTCATGAAACATATACCGCGCTGATATTCGGTTTAATGTTCATGGCATATTATCGCTCTTTATATAGAGAAAATGGCTCAAGGTACAATTAGCCTCGAATATTATTCGTTTAATAACACTTGTGTATTAACAGAATTCAAGTGTAGAGCTGAGAATAACTGGAAGTGTTACAATAAATCAGTACTTTCTTATCTTATCGCATTTCTTTGATTTTGATAGTATAAGATTCAAAATTATTCTGATTATACCTATTGTAAACATTATACCTAAAGTTACATATGAATACATTAAAAATATTTGTTGTGAATAAGATACATCCATTCTGTTTGAACAAAATTTCTTGCGCAGGCAACACATTTACAGAGAACAGTTATTAATGTAAAATTTAACACACTAAATATGCAGGAATGCAAATTAGGAAAATTCACTTGGAATAAAACTGTGCATTGGCTATTATTGTAGACCATATTTTTCATACAGACTGCATTAAAAATTGCTAAGACTTCTGTTACTTATATATATAATTATGCTTATATTTGAGCTAACGTCGCTCCGAAAATTTTCGAAAGAAATCCACAATGCATTAATTATTTTGTACAGGAAATCGGGCAAACATTTTCAACTATCTTGCTTAAAGCAGGCAAAGGTCATGTAAAATGCCATAAATATTACTCGTTCCATTCGTTCAAGCCCATTCGTTCATTCTAGAAGCCACTCGCTTAGTGAGTATTCAGATGTGCACTTATAAAATATGCGTACGGATGCCTTGTGAGGTTTTATCAATTTATTTTTAACTAATAATTAATTTTAAGTTCAGTTGCATTTCTATCACTCTCTTTTCACCCACGCTTTTTATGCCAGAATGTAAATGAGATAGCGAGCGTTTATTCAGATTGAGGGAAAATGAAGTGCTATTTAAGCGAAAGTTACGCAAGCTATTTTTAGACACGACGACCTTAAAATTGTACCGTTGGTTACGTTTCTCAGAAAACTCAATGAACGCTTCTATCAGGAAGCACAAGAATGTAATACAATGAACCACTTTGAACTTTTCAGCTACGAGATTCTTCATGAGGACCGCCATCTTCGCCCTTTTGCGGCTTTCATGCTTAGCGATAACCAAAATTTTCCTACATAAATCTTAAATGTGCTTTCGCATCTGCTCTGTCCAAAATCTCAGCTGAATATGTGTTTTATAGCAGGATTTTGACTTCATCCTCATTACTTATTTAATGCAAAGCAAATGGTTGTAAATATTGTGTATATAGTCTTCCAGTTTATGAGAAAAATTTTTACTTCATGTATTATGTCTTGTCTCCAGGACTCACTTAGGCATTTCTGTTGCTGCATCGCTACATTCAGCAACCAAATGAAAATAGCCGGTATACAGCTTGCAGCTTTGCAAGCCAGACGCGGAGGCAATAACAAACGAAACAGAACGTCTATTTTTAGAGAGCCTTTGACCCCGTCTGACATTAGAGACTCAGTGCCCAAGCTCATTAATCTCCAATTTGATCAAGAACTTATCCTGCTCATCCTTTCATTCATCTCGAATAGAACGTACAGGACTTTCGCCGGAGATGCTTTATCATCTCCCAGAAAAATCCTAAGTGAAATGCCCCAGGGTTCGGTAATTGGTTCTGTACTCTATCTGTTTTATGTAGCAGACTTCTCTAGGGTACAATTTAACAACAATGCAATCCTAGCCTGTTATGCGGATGATACGGCCTTGACGGTAAAATCAGTCAACATCAGTCACGCATTAAAATGCTGCGAACTATCATTCTGAATATTGAACAGTGGTGTAGCTACTGGAAAATATGTATTAATGCCCAAAGGTCACAGCTCCTGCTTGTTAGATGGAAAAAGTAAGCCAAGGAACTTAAAGCCAAGGAAAAGTCTCTTCCTTTTCAACGAGCCGCTACCTATTGTTCCAAAGGCTAATTAGAGAATCATCAATAATGACAAACTCACGTGGACACATCACATTGATCATATATGAGAGGCAAAGCAATTAAAGTCATGCAGTGCCTACTTCCTATCATAGGGAAATACTCAAAGCTTGATCTTTCAAAGATAAAGCTCATCTACACTTCTAATATTCGACTTTTGATGACTTATGCTTCGCCAGCTTTTATCTACTGCTACTCCTTCGGATACACACAAGCTTCACGTTGTGCAAAACAGATTGTTAAGGATCAGAATTAATGCACATTACTTTGTTCGAAATAAATTTCTACATGCTGATTCAAACTGGACAGATTGGATAACTTTCTCAGGAAAGCTAACAAAAAATTCTTCAAGAGTGCTCAAAATGACCATATGAACCTTTTTGAAACTTTTCACTATGAAGTGCTCAACGAACACAGATATCTTCCCCTCATGCATCCGTCATTCTCAGTCAAAACCAGTTCCCAATTAACTTATGAAGGTTCTTTCACAGTTTATGACACTGTTTTATACTGATGTATTTTATTTTCATAGTTCCTGAAGATTCCAGAGGAATTCTTGAGTTACAGCGCTAGGGTGGGTGACAACCCATGTTACCCTGACCTTTATTCGTTGTGCTATGTAGCTCCTGTTACTGAACTTTAGCACCTATAATTTGTATATAGCTCCATGGAGTGCCTTCTGCGACTAATTATATATAATCTTTAATCTTCATTTATTATTTATTGAACTGTAAAGTATTTTGTTCTGCACTTTTGGATGCATTTAATCTAAGTTGCGTGATACACGCGATCATGAACTCTGATTCAATATGCTGCCATCATTATTGTTATCTAAGTTAATCCGGATAGCCATTAGAACTTTTATAAGACTAGACTATAAGAGAAACACGCTAATGTGACAATCAAAATCGTAAAAACAACTTTGTATTTAGCGTAAGTATATTGAAACACTCAATCGATTTCGAGGGCAGCTTCGATTGTTTCAATATACTTACGCTAAATACAAGGTTGTTTTTACGATTTTGATTGTTATAAGACTGTTTTATGTATCAATTATTCACCGTTCATCCATCTTGGCTGTCCTCTTGGACTCATTGATCAAGTAATCACCCTACTTCAAGCTCCCGCTGACGCAAATACATCAAGATAGCCGGAAAATAGCATACATTTAGCATATTAATCGCGGCCACTAGCGAAACCTTGAACCTGGCTATTTTTAGAGCGTGTTGTGTCGTGAGCTTCGGGAATTTAGTTTCAGTATTTTTTTTCCTCCAATCGGCCGTGGTTTTGCCTACTTCAGGACATGTCGTACCGTGACTATTAGTTATTTGATTCTCTGACGTTGAACGCTTCAAGCCATTTGGCTTGCCTCGCAGGTTTCCTACAAACCAAAGCCTTTCCTGAGCGTTTAAATTATCCTGTGTGCCGTTAGGCTAATCTACATTTGAATTAGTTTAGCATTACGTATTTAAGCTAAGCCACTAGTGATGGCTTGTGTAAACCCAAGTTGGGTATTTGTTATTTCTTTGTGTTCAAATAAAAGTGCTGTTTGCACACTTCGTCTGACTTTGTCTACACTTTAAGGCAAGAGAATTATTCTATTATAATCTTTCTAAAGCTAACTAGTTTATGCTACCAAAGAAGGTGAGACTCTAAAGCCTTATAGAAAGTCTTTCTAGAAGAACAGGTCAATATTTACGTTATAAAGATATCACATATAGGGCCGCGCTGCGCTATAAGAAACATAGCCGAGTAATGCGTTTCTCTCAGCATTAGTTTGAACAGGAGGGTTCTAGTTGAAACAGTTACACTCAACAATATATTACGCCTACGTACCCCGAACACTTTACGAGGCCTGGAAAATGTCTCGCTTGAAGGTCTGTCTTTAACTATTAAGTCACTATTAAGAACTATTAAGTCATAAATTTCGTGTAAGTCAATTAAACAGATATAATGGACGAAAAGATCCTCGAAAATGTTTCATTCGATGCACAATTGAGAGAAGCTATCAGATCTGATACTAGTTTTACTAGTTAGCAAAAGCCATATTAACCACATACAGGGAACTTTTAAATATGTAATTCATTTACGGGTACAATTAACGAAAAATGTGCCAAAAATTTGTTTCAAACGATAAATACAAGGGAAAATAAAATGAATTAAATGCTAATACAAGAATGCAAATGCAAATTAAATATACTGAATAAAAATAAATATAATCAAGGGAATACAATTTACTAATAAACTGGTTTTCACAGGGAAAAATTATGTGCCATAGAAGAAGGGGAAAACCATGCGAATATTCCTTTTTTAATTTTCAGAAATTAGAACTAAATTTCTGGGATGTGGAGGAATATGCAAGAAAATACGGTGACTTGATTCTCATCTCCCTCAGATATATGAAGGACAAATATAAAAAAAAAACCATGCAGAATATGAAAGATTCAAATATTTGCAAAACAGAATTCTCTAATATTACAAATAGAATATGATTAACTTCGAAGTAATAACAAATGCTGTTTTCGTTGTAATGCCATATTACTGTTATTTTTTTAAGAATTTTTAAAATGTAACCTATTTATTATTTCTCAGAAATTGATTATTATTCTTATTTTGCAATTAGTACTTAATTCGTAGATATGTTCGTGAAATTACAAACAGAAGATTTTAAAAAACATCAAATATAATTAATTTTCAATAAGCAAACATTACGTTTTTTTGTAATTTCATATGCATTACTGTTATTATCCTATACTGATATCTGACATTTTAACTTAAAGAGTTTAAAAATAGATATAGCACTTAATTAATTAATTCTTTTTTTATTTATTATCAGTTTATTCTTTCTCGGAAAACAATTGTTCTTTCACATTTTGCAAGCAGTATATAGTTTCGTTAAGCAAGCAGTTTCGTTAAATGTAAACAACAAATGAACAATACCAAACAAGAGAAACATGAACTAAGCTGTAATTTTAATAAATAGAATAATTTACAGCTGCAATCTACTTCCTTTTTTAGTAGATGGAAATTTTCAATTGTTTCGCAGGCAGCTTGAATTCTAGGAAAATAGCGTAACATATTACTTTTCATTTAAATATCCATATGTAAATAAAGGAATCATCATAATAACACAACATAATCTACTTCCAATTTTATGCGTAATTATAATTATTTATGTAAATAAAGGAATCATCGTAATAACACAACATAATCTACTTCCAATTTTAGGCGTAATTATAATTATTTAACTGTATTTTCACATTAAAACATTTTGTAATGAGTGTGAAAACGAAACCTTCATTTCGAGTAAGATAAGTTACTCTCGGGAAATTTTATAGCAGAAACATTAACTCTTCAAGGTGTACTTTTAAAATAATTTCAGCGAAATATATGGGCACATATGGAAGTAATATGTGTATTGTATAAGCAGCACAATGATGCATTAATTGCAGCGGAATTTCCATCCACATCTCTAAGCAGCTTTTGCCATATTGTTCAGCGGAAAGAAATAATAGCATATCTTACCTGCCATTATTCCAGTATTCAGACACACTTCCTACACAAAACTGTATGATTGTGGACATAATTTAATGATTACCACCAGGCAGATTGTTTTCAATTCGTACTGAGACATTAGCTTTTAACATAATTCCGAAGAAACGGTATTTCAACTTTGAAAAAAAGAAGTTAAGGGAGTAATACGTTCTAATCGATAAAAAAAGACCTCTTGGCTTATATCGCAGAATGATAAGTCCGTTATCAACACGCGATATATTTCGCGAATTTTTGTTTCTGAAATATTTTTGCTTTAACGCCCACTTTTAGCAAAAATTAAATGCTGGACGTCCCTCTGTGGGAAAACAAATCGGTAATTTTTACAAAATATGTACTCCCCTCCGTATCAAAATGATTGATTTATAAATTTATATCGAATTAAGGAAATAGAAGCGGGAAGAGTAGTTTTGATTACGTTATCTTCTGCTTTTACAAAACAGTTTTGATACTGTATGTCAATTTATTTTAATTCTTTTTATAGAGCTATGGGGAAGGAACGCAATTTAATGTTTGATGACAGTGTAGAGTTGCGCGCCTCCAACTTGCACGCAACCAAGAGGTGACTGTTGAAACTGGATAAATGACAGAGTCTTGCTAAGGGTTTAAGTCCCTTTTTATTCAACTTAAATTACAATTGCGTGCTCTTGACGCTCACAAACTACGCCAACTCGGCGGTAAAATAAAAATAAGAACCTGAAAAGAAATAATAACAAAGACTCTAACTACGAGGCTCTCTAAAAGTAACTAACCTCACCGCGTTTTACAATACCGCTGCTAATTCAGCAAACTTTGAATATTCACGTTGAACGATTAACAATACTTCCGAGGCAAGCACACAGGCCGAAACGCGGGGTTCTTCAATTTCTGGCTAACTACCTCCGCGCTCGTGAAGTAAGAACAGCACACCTCGAACTCGTTTCCTTTCTATTTAACTCAGAATACTTCCGCTGATAATTTGAATCCTTGCGCGTTCTACTAAAATTTACATACTCTGGCATTGGCAAGTTCCAGGGGAAAGTAAGGCTTGACAGGAAAGATAGTTTAAACTTAAAATAAATGTTAGTTAAAATAAATATAAACCCTACATTTGCCGCTGCCAGAATTTGGAAAACTTGGAAGCAGGTCCTACAAACGACCTGTTTGTAAAGTTTCTATAATTCTGAACTAAACTTTAAGAGCCTCGTTTACACACAAAAAAAAAAAATCTTATGTAAAAATTGTATACAAATTTCTGTAGATACTTATAACTCTCTCTTCTTACAGCAACTTTTCCTGGACTTCATCAATCAATCTTTCTTTTCCTTCCAGCATCTGGAAGGAATAAGTATCAGTATCTTTCTAAATACATTATAATTTACACTTTCTTGACACTGAATAAATTTTTGTTTTTAAACGATTCGTTTTCCTTAGTTACTGCTTAATTCACATTCATTCAATTTTTCAAAGCATTAATTTAACTTTACCCTGGCTCTCCACCATGTGTGGTGTCAAACGGGAATATTCGTGTTTTAGTCTTACAACACTTCCCCTAACCACCATGATTTGTTAGAATTCAACGACCAAATAGACACACCTTACTCGACATTCTACAACTCGATGAGCTACTTTAACATTCTTAAAAATTCAAGTGTAGGTGGAGAACCCTACAAAACACATTCATTCTAACTTCCCCCTCATTCATCTTTAGACATGCAGGCTTTCGCTCTAAAGCATGACTTTATCTACAGTTTAATACTTAAATTTTGAATTCATTGCTTTTGAGCATTTTACTTTTAGCATCTAAAATTTTATGCTTCTAGACTAAATTCTACTTTTACATAACTTTCAAGTATTTACGTATATTTACAAAATTTTAATACATATGATTTTTACAATTTACCATAAAATGAATAAGAGAAAATAAAATTTTTACTTTACTCATTCTTCGCCAAGCTGGCGGCACTGAAACTAAAATTCTTATTAATACAAGAATACGAAGTTATTTTTATCTTCGGCCAAATTTTGGCTTTAACATAACAGAATTAGTCTTTCGACCAACAGAAAATGCTTGTTTTTAGCTTTTATACTTAAAGAATATAATACTTTTGCCTTAGCTAAATAAAGTAAAAACAAAACTAAGTCTCAACCGAGACATATTGACTTTCGTCAAACATAGAACTTTGTACTTATGCATAAAATTTCGGAACCAAAGAGAAAAAAATTTTATAGAAGATTTTAACTTATCTTTGAGTTTTCGATGATTGAAACTCCGTCATTCTTTTTCTGGCAAACTGCTCCCAAGTTATAGATTTCATGGACGTCAATCTTCTCCTTAGGGTCCTCGAGTGTCGTCCACATTGTTTTTTCTTTTGCGTCCTCTGCATGCTGGCCTCTTGGAGTGAGTAATCGTCGGGTTGCTGTCTTTTCCGTTTTGCCCATTGGACGGCTGGTCTTGGACGTCCTCCGGTCTGGAAGTCCTTCTTGAATTTCTTCTGTTGGTTGGTGGTATTTTCGTTCCTCCTGCTGTCGTTTTCAGTTTCCGGAACGGCGGCCTTGTTTGCACCTGACTCTCTGGCCCTGGGAAGCGTTCTCCTCGATGTATAATTTCTACTGCGATACGTTGTAAGGTGGTGTTTTCCTCTTTACCAACGGTTTCTTTACGCGGGCTTTGCTTTCTTGTTTTCTTAAATGCTGGAGTTTGAAAGTTTTCATTTTTTCTTTTCGGTACCGTCGTCCGGGTTGTAGAAGGGCTAGGTCTCTCTTCAGTTCTCTGCTTCTTGGGTGGTGGAACAGTTGTTGTGATTTTCTGGACCTTCTACTTCGTTTACGACTTGAGTCCTGCAAGAAACTTTTAAGGATTTCAAAATCATTTTGGATTATAGTATTTTTTCACCTGGTCGGGACTTGCTTTACAGATTTCCCCTCTCTCGTTCTTAAGGTACAATACGACTCCTTTGATTTCCTGAATTACATAGGGGCCTTCAAATTTTGGAGCTAACTTTGCAGTAAAATTGTCTGGGGCACTTGATAAAGAAAATTTCCGCTTCAACACTTTATCCCAACTTTAAAATCTGCTTCACGGCGTTTTCTATCATAATAACTTTTTGCCTATTTCTTGCCGTATCCGATCTTTTAACCGCCTGGATCAATAAGTTTTGCACATCTTTTCTGTTTAAATTCTTGCTCTCTTTGTTGCACAAAGAATAATTTATCTAAAGGCGTAATTAACTTTCGTCCTAAAAATAATTCTGCTGGGGTTTTTCCCGTAGTATCGTGATTTGCCGTTCTTAAAGCATAAGCTAATTCATTTATGTAGCCATCCCAGCGCTTGTGATGTGTGCTAACGTAACTGCGAATTATTTTTACAATGTTTTATTTAACTCTTTCTGCTATGTTTGCCTGTGGTCTATACGGAACCATTTTGATATGGCGTATGCCAAGTCCATTGCATATGTTTTCAAATATTTGACTAATGAATTGTTTTCCGTTATCGCTAATGACTTTTATCGGTGCACCGTATTTTAAAATGTATCTGTGTAAGAATGCATCTGCGACTGTTTTGGCTGACGCGCGTTTAAGTGGAACAATTTCTGTCCATTTTGAAAAATGATCTACTATTACTAAAAGAAAACGATTTTTATTTAACTCGCTTTGGGGGAAGATCTATGCCTAAAATTTCATTCGGAAATGTAGCGCGAATGCTATTTAAGTACCCGGCCGGGCTGTAATTAATATCATTTATTAACTGACATTGATTGCAGGACCTGACATACGCAGTTACTATTTTGTATAATTGCGGGAAATATACCGCCTCGCGTACCCTTTTTAAAGTCTTTCTGACCCCTAAATGACCCGCTGTTTTCGCGTCGTGTAAAAATGCTTCGAAGGCTCAAAGTAATAGCCCCGTTTTACATCCGGCTTACAAACTTGAATCACGTGAACAATACAATTCTTCAAGGCAAGCACACGCCGAAGCGGGTTCTTCAATTTCTGGCTACCTCCGCGCTCGTGAAGTAAGAACAGCACACCTCGAACTGGTTTCCTTTCTATTTAACTCAGAATACTTCCGCTGATAATTTGAATCCTTGCGCGTTCTACTAAAATTTACATACTCTGGCCATTGGCAGTTCCAGGGGAAAGTAAGGCTTGACAGGAAAAATAGTTTAAACTTAAAATAAATGTTAGTTAAAATAAATATAAACCCTACAACAGAAATGTGACTCTACATCAGCTATTGAGAAACTTTAAAAATGAAAAATCTAAGCATGGTATTACAAAAGGCTATCGGCAAAAATCATTGTGTGTCGGCCAAAATTGTTTCTAGGATATGGCAACGAGCCAGACATTGCTATGACGGAAGACATTGCTATCTTTTGAAGAGATTTTGGAAAACATCAGAAAGGTACCATAAAACCCAAAATGCAAGGTTAGATCATATGAAAAAGACATTGCTTCGATCTCAAAACACGCTTCCAGAATTCATTATTTGTGCCGAAGAATCCAATAATGCGGCCAGTGAAGCAATAAATAATTTTAAAAATTAACTGTGAAATAACATGTAATGTATATAAACTGAAAGTCAAATAAATATTTATTATTCTCATAACGGTTGTATTGCACTTGATGACTTATATTTACCCCTTGAAATTAGTGACAGAGCAGGAAAAACACATTTTTATATGGAACAATCATTTCGATTGCGTGCCTTCGTGGTTAGTGGTTTGCGTGCTGGACGCATATTCCAGAGATCCGTGGTTCGATTCCCGGCGAAGGCGTTGCTAATATTTCATCACTCCTGCTTTAAAAATAACCTAATGTCTTTACAGTGCCGTCCGAACTAAAAAGGGTGGTGGAGGATGAATCTCCCCACCCACAATTTGGCGATTGGGTCCTCTAAAAACCCCAGTCGCCCTTTAAAAGGGGGAGCATATAAGGTATTTCTCCTGCCTTCTTGGCATGCCTTCGTGGTGAGTTGGTCTGCACGCTGGGCGCGTATTCCAGAGGTCCGTGGTTCGATCCCTGGCGAAGGCGTAGCATATTTTTAACTTTCCTGCTAACAATTAACCTAATGTCACCAAAAGGACTCAAAATAAATTCAAAAAAGTATTTTTTAGTGACGTCTGTATTTATGCACGAACGTACCTCGCATAACTAAAAAAACTATTAGCCTGTAGAACATTGAAATTTTGTATATGAGATTGTTATAACATTTAGTAGTGCAGTTCCCGTTATATTAGTCTGCACTACCAAACTTACATGTATATATATATACACCCACCCTCTTACCCAACCTTTGCTTTC